TCGTCTTCGTCGTCTTCCTCCTCCTCGTCGTCCTCGTCCTCAGCATGCACGCCGTCCACCTCTTCGTCCTCGTCTTCCTCATCCTCCTCCTCTTCGTCGTCTCCGGCGGGGGCGGCGGGCTTGCCATTCTTCTTCTTCGGGACCATCTCCTCCTCCTCATCGTCGTCGAAGTCGTGGCCGGCGAAGCTGTCCACGTCGTCGCCGACAGGCTGGACGTAGCCCGTCACGTGCACGCAGCCCGCACCTGTTGCGGTCAGCGTCGTGGGCTCCGTGAAGACGAGGTCTGTGCTCATCTGGAAGACGTTCCTCTTGGGGTCCAGCGTGGCGATGGTGAACTGCTTCCCCTGGAAGGAAACAATCAGCGAAATCGCGGCGCTGGCGTTGGCGGGGAGGGCGAGCTGGGTCAGGCGGAGGGCATGCTCCTCGGGGATCTTGAGACTCACCTGCTTCCCAGCAGCCACTTCAACACCGTAGAATCCCTCCATCGTCACCTCGGTGTGAATCTTTATTTAAATACTTACCACGAAAGTGAAATCTGTCGCGTTCGCAACAAAGTCCCCCCCCCCCAAAAAAAAAAAGAGGAATTTGAAATTACAGTACGAAGCCAGTGAGTTCAACGCTATCGAATTATTTTAAAAAGGCAGCTACCGCCGCATCCGATGGGGAGGATGCAGTCTTACAACAAGGGAGAGATGGCAGATGGAGAAGGAAAAATATATATATATATATATTTTTTCCGGGGTGTTGGTTTTCTAGACGTTCCATGTGACCACTGTTACCCAGTTCTTGTGGTGTGTCACAACAACCTGCAGCACACCGTCACTCACGCGCAGCCACGAAATGCCGCTGATGGCGTCCTCTGGCGCGGCAGGATACACCGTATCACTGCTAGAACCACCTTGAACTCCATCGTCAGCAGGTGAAGGCGCTTTTTTCCGCTTGTCGCTTGTCGCTTTCTTTGGGCAGTTCTGAGTGGCAGACGCAGGGGCCGTGGGCGGGGGTGACGTCGGAATCCGGAGGGTGATTGCGCTGTGCTTTGCGTAGTTGGCTACCTTTCGGTCCAGCAGAATTACTTCGTGCGCAACGGTTGTCAAACACAGCCAGTGACGGGCGAAGCTCGGTTGGTAGCGTGCGTGTGACACCTTCTGTCGCACTGGACCGCCCTCACAGAAGTGGTTTGGCGTCACGCCCAGCAGCGGCCGCGTGGCGTTGTCATACACCACCTCCGGACGCACGGCGTCGAAGGCGCCGTAGTGCTGTCGACGGTCTTTGCTGGGAGACGTCGCGGCATTCCCGTCTGTCTCCGCCAGCCTCGCGTCCTCCACCACGAAGTGCATCAGCTTGCCGTCCAAGGTGGCAATCACAGGGCCAAACGCCGGAGAGGAGTACGGTGTGGAACAGAGAAATCCCGCCACGGTTCTCGTGGGCGGAGGTGGCTCAAATCCGCAACCATCTCCACCAGCGGAGGTGCACTTCACTACAACGGTGCGGTTTTCATACGGCGAGGCGCACAGAATGACTCCCTCCAGACACGCTGAGAGAAGGGCGGATTTGGCTCCCCACACTCCGAGTGTGCCGCTCTCGTCCTTGTCGCAGCGCCGAGGCGGAAAAACGGCGCAGACGTGTGCCACTGGAAACATCGATGTGGAAAGCCCCAAAAGTGGTACACGGTGCACGACGCTCACGCAGACTCCGTTTTCAAGCAGCACAAGAAGAACTCCATGGCACACTGTCCCAACGGCTACGAAAGGTCTGTCGTAGACCTCACTGATATCGAGGGGAACTACACATGAAGGCAGACGAAGTGAGTCAGTGCATTCAATGCATTTCGTCGACAGCCGCGAAGAGACATGGGTGGTGTGCGTGCTGCGCTCTAAATTTAGCGAAAGCAAGCGCTCTTCATATGGCAGAGAAACGATAAGGCACTCGGGAAACTGGTAAAGCCACAAGGTGCGGTACGGCAAGGATCGAAAGTAGAAGGTTCGCAATCGGTCAAAGGGGTTCATCTCTTTTTCTTGCGCAGACACTCCACCACCAGCTGCCGCCCCAGCGGCTTGTACATCAGCAGAGGGAGGAAATTCCTGAACGAGGTTCGAAACACGCTCAAGCTCCTCTACAGTTCCAATGAGAAGTTCCGCGTAGGACGGTGGCGCAGCCTGGTACGGCTTTTGAGGTGTGCGCCAAAAGACGCCTGTGCTCTGTCCAGAGTTGCCTTCACGCGGTCTCGGCAAAGGCGGCAGCAAAAATCGCTCACCGCAGTTCACCACAACGGCCACCTGGCGGTTTTCTTCCCGAAGCCGCGGGTCCCCGCGGAGCTCAACGACAAACGTGGGCCCAACGCCTCTGGGACCCGCCTCACACACCACGTCCGACGGATTCGTCGGAGGTGCGGGCCAACACCACATCATCTTGAACTGCGCCGTCACTGACGGCCGCATCGCAGTCCTCACTGCCTTGTCGAAGAGGTATTTTTTCTCTCCCTCCTCTTCCCTGGAGGCGTCGGCCAAGTCGGGGGAGGGTGCCTTGCACGTCGTGGGGGCAACCCGCGCAGGGCCGGCGGGAGTCGTTTGTCGCTGCCTTTTTTGCTTCACTGGCTGCTGCTGTGGGGCGGCCGCAGCGGCGTCGTAGGACGAACTAAATCGAGTTAGGAAGGGCGCATCCTCGTCCTCGTCAGCGCCGCTCTGGGCAACTCCGTCACCTCGCTCCCGCTTCATCCTGCCCTTCGCGGCATTCACGCAGAAGACGTCAAGGGAGAAGGAGGAAAGAAAAACAAGGTGAAAGCACAGTAAAGCCTCATTGTTTGTTGCTTGGAAAATTTTATTTACCTCTGTTACCCGATAAAAGGAGCTCAGACAAGAGCGAAGACGATGTAAAAACAACAACAACAAGGTTCAAACTATGCGTTAACACGCCTGCGTGCCCACACCACAACGCAGCTTCAGCAGGAAGAGTCGTGAAGTTTGTACACGGGGCCACAAACAAAACACATACGGAGATATCTTGATATACAGAGCGAAAAGTATATAGCACAACTTCAGCAACAGGCACAGAGAGTTGTCCCCTACATTTGCACACAACCTACAGCAACGGCTACTTCCCTGTGAAGGGGCGGGTGAGCATTGAAGCATTTGGCAGGGGTACAGGCACTGACGCGGAGGCAGATGTCCGTGGAGACCGTTGCACACGCGAACCCCCAGCTGTTGGGTTTGGTATGGAAAGCGAAACAGGCACAGATACCGCAGAACCCCCTCCAGAAGGAAGCGAAGAAGCAGCAGTTGTAGGCACTCTTACAGGGACTGGCATTGGCACAGCTGCCTGAGGAGGAAGAGCACCTGCCGCCGCCGGGGTCGTCGAGGGCGCCGGCACCTGCACCGTGAACGAAGACGTCCGCGAACCGCTTGCAGAATGGCCAGGTTGCGGAGATGCAGGGACTGGCATTGGCACAGCTGCCTGAGGAGGAGGAGGAGG